TAAATTGACAGGCCCTACAATGAAGGGAGGAGGAAGAGGAGAAGGAGGAGGAGGAGGAGGAGGAGGAGGGTGAGGTTCTTTGCAAAGACGCAACGAGAAGGAAACGTAATCGGAGGCAAGGTGTAACGCGAGATGTTGAATAAAAGAGGCCTAGCATGAAAGTGTGGTGATGGTTGGTGGGGTTCCTTCGGCTTGCTCCCACGAAACTCAATACATACAATTTTTAAATTACCTATATCATCCCTCTTCTTCTTCTTCTTCTTCTTCAAAAAAAATTGAATAGTTGTGGGTAAGAAGGGGAATTGAAAGAAATTTGTTTCAAGAAGGTGTCGATAATGTTAGCTTTTAATACTTAACAGATTCAAGGTTAATTTCAATCATTTTTTTACTGCACAATTTGAAAGAAAGAAAATCATATTTTTTATCTCTGACATAAAAACAAAACAAAAATAAAATAAAATATAATACATTAAAAAATATATATATATATTAAATAGATATATTAAAAATAATATATTAAATAAATTATTAAAAATAATATGTTAAAAAATAATATATTAAATACTTGACTATAAAATATTATTAAAATTGGTTATTTATCAAAATTTCATTCTTATTATTATCACACAAATTACATACTCTCTATCAACTTTATATTATTATTATTATTATTATATATTTTCTTATTTAATTTAAATAAAATTTTCTTTCTCTCAAAACTCAGATAGCAACCGACGAAATTGATGCGTTTCTTAGAACGAAGAAAGAAGAATGAAGGAGACTATTTTTTTCTTTTTTTTTGCTATTTGTCAAAAAAAAAAAGGAAAAGAAAGAAGACTCTCCCTCCTCCCAAGTAGACGAAGATGCCAAAGAAGAAAAAAGAAAAAAAGAAAAAAAGAAAAAGGAGGTATATAGAAGCCGGTGAGTCATCAAGCTGGTTCGTGGGAAGCCAACGGGGACGGTCAGGTGCAAAGTCAATGGACGCGGTCCTCTCGTCGAGAGTATAGGACGTATATATGCGTTCCGGTCAAGATTTGCGGAAAACAGGTATAGTAACTGGACAGGAATAAAAAATCATTTCTGTGTCACGCTACTGGACATCACATTTAAATATATTTACTATCTATTTTGCATTTTCTTTTTTTTTATCTTCTTTCCTTTTCGTTATTT